CCCCCCCGGCAATGGAATTTTCTTTTCTGGGCTGGCGGATTTATTCCCAGGCTGGTTTATGATTTTTCTTTCCAACCTGGACTTCAGGTTACGTGTTTGAGTTGGGACGTGGCCCCTGCTTTTCTCTTTGGTTGGTCGGTTTCCCTTCCTTTCCCATCGTCGTCAGTTTCATTTCTTTTCCAATTAAAGAAGGAAAAAAAAAAAGAATGAACTGAGGGGAAAAAAAGGATTTAAAAAACTCCGTACTTTACACTTTAAAGCACTAACTCCTGATTGTTCAGATACAGCATGGACGCCTTCCAAGTGCTTTCAGTTGATGCAAGTAGCTTCTATAATACCAAGCATTTCCCTCCCTCTCCCCCTCCGTCTCTGCCTCCCCCTCATAACGTACTTACAGAGAGGAAAACAAAAAAAAAGTTTAAAAAATGAATGCAACTCACTCTTTGCTCCCCAGCGCCCCCTGCTGTTACTCTGACCCTGTCCAGCCCCCCTCAGTAATGCCAGTATATGTTCTGTGTTATAAGTGCCAAGAAATTTTTGTGACTCCCTCATTCCTGTGACCTGAGAGTATCGACAATTGCACATTAACTACTGTAAAGATTTAAAAAAGAAAAAGAGGAATTCAGAAATGTTAATAAAAAGGTTTGTAACAAATTTGCATCCCCGGCTGGTTATGTTCCTTCCTGAATTTCCCTTCCAGGCATTTGCCGGGGGGGGGGGAGTTTCGTGTTTGAGGCACGCGAGAGATCTGGGTTGGGTTGCTTGACCAAGTCACTGCCGGTTCTGCGCCTCAGTTTCCCCATCTAACATAGAGGCTATTTCGGTTGTCATAGTCATGGGGGAATTCAGCAGTTGCTGCACTGGGAGCCATAGCGAATTTGCAGATGTGTCCCAGGACTGCGGGTTGGAAGACTTGGGCTGTCGATTCTGAGGTCAGAAGCTCTTGCAGATGGGTCGATCGCCCACTCTACACAGGCCAAGGGACTAGCCTGAATCAGTTCCTAGCTACACTATGAGCTGGTGTCTTAGGAAAACATCTGATCTTGATTTGAAACGTATCAGAGACTCAACTGGGCAAGTTGTTCCTGTGGCTAATACCCTCCCGGTTCAAGAACCTGGCACCTGATTTCCCGTCTGCATGGAGCCAGCTTCGCCTTTTGGCCCTCGGGCTGCTGGACTGACCCGTCCTCTGGGATCAGATCACATGCCCTGGGCTGGCTGCTCCCCATAGGAATCCTAGAACCAGAAGGGATCTTAAGGGCATCCAGTCCAGCCCCTGCCCTCATGGCAGGACCAAGCACTCTCTTAGAGTCTAGACCATCCCTGACAGGCGTCTGTCCAACCTGCTCTTAAATCTCTCCAGGGATGGAGATTCCACAACCTCCACGGGCAAATTATTCCAGTGTTTAAACACCCTGACAATTAGGAACTTTTTCCTAATGTCCAGCCTAAACTTCCCTTGCTGCAGTTTAAGCCCATTGCTTCTTGTCCTAACATCGGATGCTGAGGAGAACAATTTTTCTCCCCCTCCTTGTAACACCCTTTTAGATGCTTGAAAGCTGCTCTCATGTCCCCTCTCAATCTTCTCTTTTCCAGACTAAACAAGACCAATTCTTTCAGTCTCCCTTCACAGCTCATGTTTTCTAGCCTTTTCATCTTTTTTGTTGCTCTTCTCTGGACCGTCTCCAATTTCTCCACATCTTTCCTGCAATGTGGTACCCAGAACTGGACACACTAATCCAGCTGAGGTCTAACCAGCACAGAGCAGAGCGGGAGAATGACTTCTTGTGTCTTGCTCACAACACACCTGTTAATGCAGCCCAGAATCACGTTTGCTTTTTTGCAACAGCGTCACACTGTTGACTCATATTTAGCTTGTGGTTCACCCTCACCCCAGATCCCTTTCTGCAGGGCTCCTTCCTAGACAGTCGCTTCCCGTTCTGTGTGCGTGACACGGATTGTTTCTCCCTAAGTGGAGCACTTTGCATTTGTCCTCAAACTTCGTCCTGTTAACCTCCGACCATTTCTCCAGTTTGTCCAGTTCCTTCTGAATTCTGACCCATCCTCCAAAGTCCTCGCAACCCCTCCCCGCTTGGTACCATCCGCAAACTTAATAAGCGTCCTCTCTGTGCCGATATGGAAATGGTTGAAGATTCGAACAGACTCAGTCCTCGAACTGACCCCGGCGGAACCCCCCTCGGTCTGCCCTTTCTGGGCTGGTCAGTGACCAAACTGCTCTCAGCCCTGCTAGAAGACTAGCTGGTGTGGGGGAGGTGGACTTATGGGGATGCCCCTCCCCAGCTGCCCAGCAATCAGATTGCCTAGCAAGGGGGCTGACATCTCCAGGAAGAATCGCCCAGCCCATGTGACCCGTGTCGCCGTTTGGAGGAAGAAGGGGTTTTTCTGTGCCCTGCAGCGGGAGGGTTCTGCCCGGGGGCTGCTTGGCAGCTTCAGAGCCAGGAAGGGGCTGGACCGAGCAACTTGTCGGGGCAATCTGGGGGGTGTTCTAATCCCCGGGCCTGCATGAATCAAGCCCAGAGGCAGCTCCCGTCCTGCCAGCAAGGGGCACGTGTGAGCCCCTCACGTCGTCCCTAAGCTGGGGCCGCCCCAGGCAGGTTTCCTGAAGTCTGAGTCCTTCCCGCGGCGCAGCTCTGCCTCGGCACCCCCCTCGCCCAACCAGCCCCAGCCTCTGGGCCGCACAGACACCAGGCCTGGGCGCAGGATCCCAGCAGAGGGGCTGGGGGACACACCTGTGCCCATAGAGCCCAGCCCTGTGTCCCCACCTGGGGGCCTCGCTTGGCTAGAGCGTCAGAGCGCCCAGCCGTCCCCGGCTGGGTCCCGAGCACCAACCGCTGAGATGGCTGAGCAGGGATCCTGTGCAGCCCTGGCCCCTCCCGCCCTGGCTGGGGGGGAGCCTCATCCCCTAAGCTCAGGCCTTGACTTCCCGCAAACCACCCCCCGTTTCTATGGGAATTTTAAAACGCTGCCCCGCGTGGCACACGAGAGCGGAGACCAGCAAACCCTTGCTCTTGGCAACGGTTTCTTTAGCTCCGCGGACACCCCAGCAAAAAGCCACACTGGGCTTTGGGGCAGGGCTACTGGGCGATTTTCCACCCCCGCCCCCCTCGCCGCCCCTCCTCCATCCCCCGGCAGGCATGGCCCCTCTGACGCAGCGCGTTGACTGGATACACAAGCGACATCCTCCGGAGAGGCCCCCTGCAGCTCCCTCTGCACCCTGCAGGGGGCGACAGAGCTAAGGGCGGCCCCTGCTGGAGCCCCTAGGCCATGTCTACACTAGGAAACATTTTCACAATTAGTAAATTCGACTTAAAATGCAACAAAATCGAATTAGTGCAGGGGTGGCCAACCCACTTACCAAAGAGCCGAAACAGCGGCAGAAAAAATGGAGAGGCCCCCTGCAGCTCCCTCTGCACCCTGCAGGGGGCGACAGAGCTAAGGGCGGCCCCTGCTGGAGCCCCTAGGCCATGTCTACACTAGGAAACATTTTCACAATTAGTAAATTCGACTTAAAATGCAACAAAATCGAATTAGTGCAGGGGTGGCCAACCCACTTACCAAAGAGCCGAAACAGCGGCAGAAAAAATGCGAAGAGCCGCACCAGAATTGTCAAACAAAAAAAGAGGCTGCCCCTTTAAGGAGCAAGCAAGCTTAGACTTTTTGGCCATATCAGGTTCCTGTTGACGGCTGCCATCTTGGGCGTCATTTTGAATCGCCAACCCAGTGAGCACGGGGCGGGGGCTATGGGGGGGGCACAGGAGCAGCTTCGCGAGCTGCATTTTTGGGGGGGAAGAGCCGCATGCGGCTCGTGAGCCAGCCACGGTTGAACTAGGGTGTCCACGCTACAGGGAAGCCTCGAAATCAGTCCGAGGCCAGGTCCGTTAATGTGGACGCGTCCCCTCAGACTTAGCGCCCCAGGAAGCGCTGGGGAGGAATTAGTTGGAGCGTCTCTGGGGAGTCGTTATTTCGAAATGGCGGCACCAGCGCGTCCACACTGCCCCTAGTTCGAAAGAACTGTTTCGGAAGTAGCGTTATTCCTCAGGAAAAGCAGCGGCACAGATTTGGAAAAAACGGGCTTGGCCGTGTGGACGTGCCGCTTGTAAACTCGACCTAAGGGGGTCGACTTTGAAATAAAGTGCTAGTGTAGACCGGGGCCGAGATGCTTGTTTATTATTACAGTACCAACCAGCAGCATGGTAAGTTGATCCGCTGTGGCTTCCGATCCGCTGGGGGTCACGTAAACGTCCAGTCTTTGTACCGTCGGGCAGGAGCCTGAGCAGCATTAGCAGCTGTTTCCACCTCAACGCCCCCTGCATTCACGTTTGTTTAGCCAGCCGGCCTCCGGCCCGGGCTGCAGCGGGTCTGTGTGTGCCCCAGGGACACCCAGAACGCCTCAGGGTACCACAACGACAAGCGCTGGGCCCGCATCCAGCTACTTACTCCTTGCGCACCCGGGGAGCTTTCCTTGTGCCTGCCTGTCCTACAGGCCTCAGTGCCAACGGCCGTAGGCTCGCGACAGGGAGCTGCCGCATTCTCTCCCCGCTCTGCTGTCGTCTCAGAGCCGGATGCAAAGGGCAGGAGCCAGCTTCTCGGCTGGTGTAACGGGCAAGGAGCTGTTTGGAGTCACACGCGCAGCAGCGCCACACGCCGGTGGTAGACGCACCACTCTGGGCAGACTCTGATCCGTTCTAACCCGGGAGGCCCAGTTACAGCCTCTGCAGGTGTATATCAGGGCAGACCTGTGGCTCCCAATGCCACAGCGCAGTCTACACCAGCTGGGGCCTGGCCCCAGAGTCGGACGCAAGCGCTGAGCTGTTCTTAGAAGTCTTTTCAGAGCCCTTCGAGCCACAGTGAACAAGCAGCATCCCCGAGCACGGAGGCACCAACATGAACCAGCCACCTCTACAAAACTGGGCTCCAAGTCCTCAGTTTTGCTGCTTTATTGCGCAGCTGTTTAAAGGTTTTCTTAAAAAAATATTAATTTGCTTTTTTTTTATATTAGACATTCAGGGTCCGGCTCGGTCGCAAGACTATACAGCCACGTCCCATGGGAGCTGTAGTTGGAGGCCCTTTGTGCCTCTTTCCTCCTGACTACATCTCCCATAATGCACAGGGCTCTCTTCCTGGAGCAGAGTCACTGGACTGCATCATGGGAGTTGCAACTAGGAGCCCCTCCCAACCCCATTTTCCTCTGTGGGCCAAACTCTCTGGCCAGACTACATCTCCCATGATGCACTGCAGCCTCTCCTTGCTACAAAGCAGGAACCATCCTGGTTGTGTGTACAGCACCAAGCACCATGGGGACTTCACAGCCCTTACCCTCAGGTCTCTTCCTCCCCCAGAAAGCAGCAAAAATCCAGCAAACAGCGCCCTCAATGTCTTTAACAGAAAATCCTTCCCATGAAACTCCACCTGAGTGAATTTGGACTTTTCATAAAAAAGTGAGGAAAGGGACAGGAGGCAGAGTGCAGCTGGGCTTTAAGGGGGGAGCCCTGAACCCGCACGGCACCCAGTGCCCACGCCCTGAGGTGCCAGCCTAGCCCAGGAGGGTACCAACAGCTCCGTCTGCCTCCCACACCACTAAGAGTTATTCTAGCGGCAGCAGGGAGCTGGTGTGGTAGACAGTGCCCCCTGGTGGCACAGACTGGGTTGGAGGGTACCAATTCACTGGCTTCCCTCCCTTCCCCAGATCTGGGGCAAGATCAGAAGTGCCCCCCTTCCAGCACATTTCTGCTGCCCCCTAGAGGCTGTGGGCGCTTCCAACCCTGCGCAAGACTGCAAGCTCCTGATGCAGAAGCAAAGGCTGCTCCCTGAACCTGATTCGCCTGTTCTTTACCACAAGTGAGAGCAAGGCACCTGCACTTCAGCAGGGCCGCTCCTGGGTGGCTCGCCAAGCAGTGATGGAGCGGGGGACGGGGAGGGGAGGAGGAGCTGATCAGGCGGGTGGGTGCCTCTCCTGATCCTGCGGCAGTCCCGGCCAGGCGATTACAGAGTGAAGAGGAGGACAAGCACCACAATGAGGACAATGAGCAGAATGCAGATCGAGAGCAAGGCACCTGCACTTCAGCAGGGCCGCTCCTGGGTGGCTCGCCAAGCAGTGATGGAGCGGGGGACGGGGAGGGGAGGAGGAGCTGATCAGGCGGGTGGGTGCCTCTCCTGATCCTGCGGCAGTCCCGGCCAGGCGATTACAGAGTGAAGAGGAGGACAAGCACCACAATGAGGACAATGAGCAGAATGCAGATCGCACACCACTGGCGCCGGTCTGGAGAGGAGGAAGCAGAGGAGGAGAGGCAGTGAGTGGGAGGCTGGGACTCTTGTGAGCAGGAGGGGGTTGGCTTACACCCCCGACACTAAGGACCTCTGGCTGCTTGGGGCACATTAAGAAACCCCCCTCCACATCTACACTCTTGCTTTTTACAGAAGGGAAACTGAGGCAGAGGACGGGACTTGCCCCAAAACTCTCACAAGGCGGGGAATAGAACCCAGGAGTCCTGACTCTCCTCCATTTGACTCTAACCAGTAGATGCTACTTCCCTCCCAGAGCTGGGGTAGAACCCAGGAGTCGTGATGCTCAACCCCTCCCTGCACTAGCCCCTTAACCCCATCCCCTTCCCAGAAACAGGTGGGGGACTCGGGTTCTCAGGTCTCCTATCTGCCCCTCCCCAGCGTCTGCCTCACCGCTGGTCATGTGGGAGACCTTGGCCATCTTCTTGAGTACACCATCCATGCGGGACTGGCTGTTCTCCATCTCCTGGGCAAACTCTTCCAGCATCCTGCCGGGCCAGGGGACAAGCTGTCATCTCGGGGGGCAGCACTTCCCCCCAAGGGCTGCGGTCATGCAGGGAGAACCCCGTGTCTGCTGCCTGCCTGACGCCTGGTGTGGGGGGATCCAGTCCCTTGCCAAGGTGGCAGGAGGGGCCTGTCTCATTCCCCCCGCTCTCCCAGGTTGGTGGGGCTTCTCCGAGCACCTGCCATCCCCCTAAGCACTGGGCTGAGACCCATCAAACTCATCTCGCATGTCAGGCCAGATGGGAAGGATTTTCAGACATGGGGCTGGCGCCCCCTAGAGGGGACATGTCCCATTCCCTCCCCTGTGAGTTAGCCAGTCCCCTGCCCTAGGGCCAGATCAAAGCCAGTACTATCGAAGGTGTATTCCAGTCCCCACTCACAAGCTCTGATCATCCAGCTCATCCCCGACCCGACCCGACATGTGCTTCAAGACCCGGATGCTGCCCGACACCAGCTCCAGCTGCTCGTCCTGCTGCTCTAGGATCAGCTGCCGCAGAAGGGAGATTGGAAAAGCCAGAGGGTCATTGCAGGGGAATGCAACAGAGTGTGGGAGGGAATGGATCAGAACCAGAATGGCGGGGGAAGGAGGAATTGCTGCCCCCACCACTTCAAAGTTTGCAGCCTGTAGCATGGGGCTGTGGAACTCCCTGCTGCAGGGAAGGCATGGGAGGGGCCAGCTTGGCTAATTTTAGATCCAGCTGTCGGACGGGGTGGTTGGATGTCAGGCCCCAGCCCCACTCTCCACCACAGCTGATTGAGGCAGCGGGAGAAATGCTCCTCTGGAGCAGCCAGTGCTGGAGACGGGATACCAGGTTAAATGGGCCTGTGAGTCTGATCCAGAGGGTGGGGGAGGGGGAGATACAGGTCTGACTTGTAGCCAGATCCTGTTCCTAGACCCTCCCTCCCCCACCTCTCCACTTCAGGGGGGCGACGTCAGTTTCACTCTGGTTTCACAAAAGAGCAGTGTATGTCATCCTGGGTTCCATTCCTGGCACAGGAGGGGGAGGGGGGTGTCCTTCCAGATCTGGGTGACTCGGGATGCAGCAGGGCATATCTCTGCGCCCCCCCCCCTTAGAGCTGCAGCCCCTGCCTGTACCCTCCCTCCCCCACCTCTCCACTTCAGGGGGGCGACGTCAGTTTCACTCTGGTTTCACAAAAGAGCAGTGTATGTCATCCTGGGTTCCATTCCTGGCACAGGAGGGGGAGGGGGGTGTCCTTCCAGATCTGGGTGACTCGGGATGCAGCAGGGCATATCTCTGCGCCCCCCCCCCTTAGAGCTGCAGCCCCTGCCTGTGGCCTCAATATAGCGGGAATTGGTTGACACCAGCTCCTCCCGCAGCTGGCCAGACTGCGCCGGGGGGCACTTCTGGCTGGCCTCACCCCCCATCAGCACCTGCAGGGAGAGAGCAAAGCCCTGAGCATCCTGGAGAACCAGCGAGGAGGAGGCAACCCACCGCTGGGGCGTAGGAGGAAGAAGGGGGAGACGGGGACTGGCCAGCTCAGGGGAGCAAACAATGGGACACGGGGCCCATTCCTTCTGGGGGGACTAGCGCCGATCATCCCCACAGCACAGGCCTGGCGGGCACAAAAGGTGGGGAATGGGACACGGGGCACCGGCCCTGCCCTGGCTCGTGGCCCGGGTTTCCTGGAGGCCAGGTGCTTGTGCGGCTGTTCCAGAGAGATTCTAATGCCGCCCAGCCGATGAGCAGAGCGCCCGCAGTTAGGTGCGTGGTTTTCCTTGCGGTGCACATAACAAAATGTATTCCGCACGTGGATGGGGAAACAATCCTCCCGCGGAAGATTCGAGGGACCATTGCTCACGGGCTCTGCAACCTCCCTGCCACGTGCCTCCCCGCAGCTGGAAACAAGTTTTCCTGCAGTCAGCCCATCCCCCACACAGCCAGGCCCTCATGACCAGAGGGGTGGGAGCCAAAGACACTAGCCCCCGCTTGGAGGGAGAGATCGGCATCTTGCGGCATGCACAGACAGCATGGGCAGCTTGCCCTACCATGCCCGGGCTGCCGCTATGCCCCTCGAGGGAGGATCCTGGCTGCCAGGGGCTACCACTCCCCCATCAGCAGCTCCAGGACAGAGAGTGGCATTACGGGACTTTCTACAGGGCCGGTCCTGCTCCGCGAGGATGGGACCAGATACCTCTCTGCTCTTCCGCTGGGCGAAGGCCAGGGCTGACGGGCTGGATACGTGATCCTGCATCTCCTGCGAGGGAGGGAAGGAAATGGTTAAAACACAAGCTTGATCTGAGGTCAGAGGACTTTTGGTGGGTGCAGGGGGGAAGCACAGAGGTTTGGGAGAGCAACTCAGAGCATTTCGATGGGGGTCCCCCTTTCTGTCAGCCTCACATACAGGGACTTCCCCACAGTCAGCCAGCAAGAGCAGGAACAGAGCCCAAGTGACCTGGGTTTCCCCTGCCTTAACCACTAGGCCCCCCACCCATCTCAGAGCCAAGGACAGAATGCAGGAGCCCTGACTCCTAGCCCATTGCTCTCTCCAACACACACATTTCAGAACAACCTGCTGCAAATCATGGCCCTGACTCAGTTTCTCCTCCTCTGAGCTATTGGGGTCCCTCTACTGCATTAGCTGGTGTGCCCCACTAGAGGGGAGTAGAACCTCACGCTCTCAGAAGAGGTCTTCATTCCTCCAGTAGGGGGCAGCCCTGTGACTCAAACACAAAGGGAAGAGGGGGTGCAAGGCGGGGGGGGGGGTCCCCCACCTTAACTGAGTCCCGCATCTGCCTCACGAATGCCCGTCTCTCCGTCAGCTCACTGGCTTCGATCCTGAACTTGCGAGGGTTTGACTCCACAATGCGTGCACCGGCGTTAAGGACCAAGTGCAGATCCAGGGTGGGAGGGGGGAGCACTGGAGAGGAGCCGGTGTGTGTGCGCAGGGGGGGTTCCCAAGCAGCCCACAGACATGAAACAGCTCTCTGGATTTCCCTTCATTCCCATGGCCTGTCCCAGCAGGGGCTGCCATGGGGTGTAGGGACAAAGCACTGGCTGCAGGGGAGGCTGCAAGGCGCCGGGAAGGGTGCTGGGGCTGGGGATGCTCCCGGACTCTGCCAGGAGGGGGGCGCTGCAAGGAGCTGAGCAAGGTGTCCCAAGCAGCCCACAGACATGAAACAGCTCTCTGGATTTCCCTTCATTCCCATGGCCTGTCCCAGCAGGGGCTGCCATGGGGTGTAGGGACAAAGCACTGGCTGCAGGGGAGGCTGCAAGGCGCCGGGAAGGGTGCTGGGGCTGGGGATGCTCCCGGACTCTGCCAGGAGGGGGGCGCTGCAAGGAGCTGAGCAAGGTGCTGACTGCAGGGGGGCTTCCAGACTCTGTCAGCATGGGGTGCTGTGAGGAGCGGGGCAGGGCGCTGGCTGGGAGGTGTGAGGAGAGGAGCGGGGCAGGGCGCTGGCTGCAGGGGGTGCTCCCGGACTCTGCCAGCATGGGGTGCTGCGAGGAACGGGGCGGGGCGCTGGCACTGGGGCGCTCCTGCGGGGGAACTGGTCCCCAGAAGGATATCAATGGTTTCCTCCAGATCCTCCAGGTCCCACTGGATGCTGCGCAGGTTGTTGCGCAGCTCGTTGGTGGTCCAGTCGAACTCCTCGGAGCTGACGACATGGGTCTCCTGCAGCAGCTCGCACCAGCGCTGGTAGAGCCCCTGGGCCGTGTTCACAGCCTTCTGCACTTCCCTGGGGGCAAAGAGAGGGGGGCTGAGGAGGGGGCGAGGGAGGAGCAGGGCAGGGATCCCCAGGAAGCTGGCCTGGTG